GGGGAGAGGGAGAATTATGAAGAGTTATTTGCCAGTGCCCCTGGTTTTTTTTTTTTATTTTTAGTTACATCTTCCCTGAAATAATCTCTGAAAGATCAATAATTGCTTTCCCAGACTACGAGGATAAACTAATACAAACTTTTTCTAAATAGTTCATTTAATATTGGTTTATTTAAGTTTAGTTATATTTTCTGGAATAAAATATATTGTAGGAAAAGATTACATCTATCTGCCCACCCTCCTTACACTCATCTCAAGACATCACCTGGGGTTCCATCAGGGCGGGGTCCCTCTAGGGTGCCCAGCAATAATTGCAGGTGCAGCCTAAACAGCTGCTCAGTGCCTAGAACCACAGTCCGTGCCCCGTGTAGATGCTGCGCCATGCAAATGATCCACTAATCAAGTTAACGGTGGATCAAGGGCAAATGTCTGCATGTGCAATACAGGAGTGTTCTCCTTTATTGCACTTTGCTTTATTGCACTTGGCATATATGACATTTTTTACAAATCAGAGGTCTGGGGCAGCCCGGAAGCAAGTAGACCACAGTATACTGTGAACATCACTTTTGCATGCACTAGGAACCCCCCAAAAATGTATGACTCCTTTTATGGTTGACATTTGCTCAAGTGTGGAAGATGGAGCCAAACCAGCAGTACCCGCAACTACGCCTGTGTTTTAGACTTTCTCTCTGGAAACAGTGATCCTGCCTTGTACTGTGAACACTGACATCCCTCTGGGACCACATCTGTTTGAAGCCACAAGTAGGATGTGGATTTTCAACAGTGTTGTCCTCCTAAGTAGCTCCAACCCCACAATAACACATTATTGCTTATGCTTAATCAAGCCATCAATGGTAACTTGAAATAGCTATTACTGAATTTGGAGGATTCAAAAGTTCAGTAAAGAAAATGATTGAACCTAAGTTCTCAGTTAATATACAAAATAGGGGGAAGGAAAAAAGTTAAATTATATAAATGTTAAAATGGATAAGCTCATTAAAAGCCCATTACTTCTATTGCAATATCAGTAAAAGCTTAATAGGTTGTGATTATGGGCCAATTTTCCAGCTGAGGCTTCTTGTTCTTACAAAATGTAAACAGAAAGAAAAAAGCCATTTGACATCAAAATTGTGGTACAACCAGATTTTGTTCCACTTAAAAAATGAGCTAGTTCTGAGCATACTTTGTTTTTCATAAATATTCAAGCTTTTACATAGCACAAAAGAGGCAAGATTGGGGTATACCAGATGTGTATATGAAGACACCTATTCCTAGGAAAGTTGATCCACCATTTTGATAAAGGTTATCATGTGATGCAATCATTAAAGCTAAAATATCGAATCAACCACTGTTTCTTCATCGAGAGTCAGGAGCGTTTCTTGGACAATCATTTCTCAGCAAAGACTGTTGAGAACAACGTTCAAAAACACCCTAACAACAAAATAAATCTTTCATTTCTTATAACTAGACGGCCCCCACAGCTGCTACCTTTTCTGAGACAATTAAACTCGAACAAGATTTGCAGCTGGTTTCAGCAAATCCCTGAAACACCGAGTTTAGATAATTTTCTAGTCACCTTTTAGTAACACAGAGGATTGTCTATATTACCCAGCTCCGACATCGCCAGTCCCGTCCTTGTATTTAAAACAACAGCGCTTTGGTATGAACAGAATGACCGTGTTCTTGATTTTTCATTAACTATCTTGACTTGCCACTGAAAGTTGAGCGCATGCCGCAGGCTGTGTTCAGGATAGTGTAAGTGTGCCCACGCGGCTTTGGTGTCAAAGCGGCACCACTTTCAATATCTTCTTTTTATGTGTTACAGGAAACCAAGCCTTTTGGCCACTTTTCAAAGAGCGCATCGTGGGTAGTTTATATTCTAACCCTGCATAAGATGTCACAGTGTCTCGAAGCTGCCCGTCATCACTGTCATCACAGGAGAGCCTCAGAGGTGTGCTGACGGGGTCCTTCCTGTCCCCTGGTGTTTAAGGGCCTGGGGAACACATTACTGGGGCTTAGCAGGAGTCTGGTTACCGTTTAATAGGGAGCAAGTTACACATACCTGCATGCACAGTGTAACACAGCAAGCAGAGCCACTACTGCTTAATCATCTTACAGACCCGCCACCATTAAAAGAGAAGAATCCCCGAGGCCAATCCACGTATCCTCAACATTTAGAATAGGCTAAGGTTAATCAAAGCTTACTTTGGAGAGTAGAGGACGCTACAGATAAGCCACTGCTGTAATATAATTTATCAAGGTTCTTATGGGTAAATGTCACTAAAGTACATATAAAATAAAATGGGCAATTAGGAATTTCTGATTTTGAGGACTCAGCCTAAACCCTGTATTTGCTGGACATGAGGCTAATGGGGAGAATACTGATGTACGAACCTTACTCTGACCTTGAACAGAGCATATGAGATTCTAGGGAAACAAGAATTGGAAGTTGACTCGGGCTAGGTTATTTATTTGTCCAGGAAACATGTTACTAGTTAGTCAATACAACAGGCATAATTGCTTTACAAGCATCTTACTGAGAGACAATCTTGAGAACATTTACTATTGATACTGGAAACTGGAGCTTCACTAGTGAAAAGTGCAACAGTTTTGTGGGATCTTAAAAAAACAGTTTTAAAAAAAAATAAGGTGCTGTTCAAGTGTGATATGAACACACTTCAGTTATTCGCAGAGGAGCTCTGAGATGTGGTTTGTTATGGAAATTCTAACGCCAGGCTGGGGGCCTTGCTGGTGGGTGTGGGGTGACATTCACCTCAAGAGGCCAGATCCTGTATTCCTGAACCATATACAGTGTGGTAAACAGATGTTACCTTAAAAAAATTATAAAAATAAAATAAAGACAGGTGTAAGCCAGGTTTTGTTCAAAGTCCACTCTGGGTGGTGGCAGTGTAGGGGGTGGGAAGAGGAACAGGCTCAGAAGGTTTGAGTTGTGGACACTGTTTAGTCTGTACTGTATACAGGAACTTCTTAATTTGTGGGACCTAATGCCAAGACACAATGCTGGGCTCTGGCTCAAAACGTCATGAATTGCTGACTGCAGACGTGAAACCCTAAAGTGCCAGGCGAGGGGGCTGAGGGCAGAGACAGAAGGGAGCCGGATGGGTCATGGTGGAGACCAGGGATGATATGGTAGTGGGGGCACTGCGGTGGCAATACCTGATGGGGGACCCAAATATTACAACTGCAAATAAATACACAGATATTAAAGAAATAAAATTACATTGCTCTAACTGTTACAAAAATGTTATGAATTTCAAGGCTGACAGCACAGCATTGACTCAACCCAGACCCTCCAAGGGCGCAGAGACACCCAGGAGCCCCGTGGCTCCCACCGGCTCGGTACAAACCCACGGAGGGGCCATTCCGGTTTTAGCCACTTCTCGCTGCGTGTGCTGGACTTCACAATAAAAATACATATATTTTTCAAAGCTGCAGTAGTTATCCAAGCAAATTAGACAGACAGAATGCTTATGAGGAAAAGCAAGTAGAACTTTGCGCTCCTACCTCCTATATCAGTTTCCACTGGCAAATGAATATTTATTAGTTTGTGGTACTTTTTTTGTTTAAAGACTTTTTTTGCTGAAGTTACAACCAAAGGCAGAATAGCCTTGAGTATCCATCGGCAAGATTCTCAGAAGTTACATAAGACTTCGTCCTAGGACGTGGCTATCTAGAGACCTACAGGGAATTTGGGCGGTGGAAGAAATGTATTTGTGAAAGAGATAAAGGGGAAGAAAAGGTGATATTCCATGAAATATTTTCTAGCAATTCATTTCTTGAGACTATTTCGTCAGAAGCATTGTGTCATATATATATAGCAATAGTACTAAAATGCTAAAGGCACATCTATATTCTCAAATTTCTATTTAACTGTGACAATATAAAAATAATGCCTTGATATATGACCTCTTTTTAATATTTGCTCAAACTCCTTGCAAAAAGTATCAGGTGTGTAGATCAGAGAGTGATAATGAGCAAGGTCTCTACTTAATCTTACACCTCTCCTGCAAAAAATGAGGCATTAGCTTTCTAAATTTATCCAAATGCACATCAGAGAAATTTATAAGATGTGAAAAGAAAATGCCAGGGGAAGATGATGAATTATGTCAAATTTTACTGCTAAAATATATATGTGTGTGTATATATAGAGATAGATAGATTATATTCTATTTCAGTTTTATTTTATTCCTCTCTTTCATGTAACAGCTAGTTTAGAAGAAACAACATCTGGGTTTAAGAAACTTACATTTCTTGATTTGTCCTCTTCCAAATATACTGTTCATATAGCACAAGCTGAATCATACTTGCGTTGCTCGGGGAAAGCTTTGCAGAATACACAGACATTTCTTTCAAATAAGAGAATGCTGAATTTTTAATAGCAAGTGATAAGGATCTAGCACCAAGGATATCTACAGGGTCAATCACTGAGTCCATTTCATCGCAAGGGAGACATTCCCTTATCTGCAGCATTTCAATTGCACGGATCCCTCAACTGGGGTCTCTGTAGCAAAGATATGAGCAAAACGATCACACGTTTATGGAGTTCTGCTCCAGAGACAGAGTCATGGAAGCTTAAATTTTACATATATAATGTCACCCATCTTTCCTATTTACAATGCTTTAAAATGTTTCATCTACCCACCCAATGACACATCCATTTAGGTAACAGATGTTTTTAAGCACTTGTTAAAGGACAGAGATGAATCAGATACAGTTCTCGCCACCATGGGCTTGGTATAATGGAAATGAGATGTTGAAAAAAATATAACCAAAACAAGTAGTGGAAATAACTTCTTCCTAATTGAGAATTTAATATTTGCTTTTGCATTTTGCCAGGGAATTTTGTATACAGAATTTTAAGTAAATGTCTCTACAACTCCCTTAGATAGGACAGAGAGGAAACACACAAGTAACCTTGGCAGAGATCAGCAAGGACAACTTGCAGAAGAAGAATTCAAATCTATTCTGACTCCAGACCCTGTGTGTTGCCCATTCCGTTAGATTCCTGGGCAGACCAGCATTTCCCTAAAGAACATTCCGATTGCGTCAACTGAGAAGTAGCATCACTTGGACCTTGAAACAAGATCAGAATTCTTGCCCAGTTCCCCACTGCACTGGCGACCTTCAAGTCAGGTAACTTCTAATCATCTCCCTTTTCTCAAAGGTACAGCGCTAAGTCTTCCTTTGTTTTCTTCTTGGCACTAAAAACAAACACATAAAATACACAATTTTAAAATCGGAGAAGTCAGTTGCCAGTCATGCTAGTCAAGGGCTTCCTGACCACGTTCCTGCATTGGCGTCTATTATTTATTTTTAAAGCAAGAGTCAGCCTGCCTCCAGCTGTGGCTAACACCATTTCTCCCAGAGTCTCTCAGGCACACACTGCACTTGAGCATCATTCTATATTGTTCCAGTTTGCTGTGTAATTCACTTATTATATTGCATTGACTCTTTCTGGCCTCAAATCATTACTGATCAACACTAGTGTGTCTGGTCCTCTCTTTCATGATACCACATTTGACATTTAAATAACATGTTGTTGATGTATAATGAAATAGAAGGCTTGAAAACCATAGTTATGTTCTCCCTTTTTCTTCCCTTAGAACTTAGTTGAGTTCCATGGTAGTATCTTCGTCTCTTCCTCACTGAAGAGATCTGTGCATTTATATCACTCTGTATTTAAAAATTTACTTCTAAAGGAACAAAAAAACAAGTAAATCAAAGAAGGAGAACAGATTAAGTAGTTTGATGTTTTCTGGCCACCTACAAAAAACAGCAATCTCAGGTCACTCTCTCACTGAGGACAGCGCTGTGTTTACTTCCAAGCACATGACTCTGTAAGTTACTTCACTGATCTGCAAATAGGAATCTTGTGTGTGATCCCTGTCAGGAATAACCCCCATCTTCACCACGGGGGAAGCCCAAAGATTCTGGGAGTTACATGGAAACACAGCTTGTGTTACTGGACTCGTGTCTTCTGAGGACAGACAGATGGCAAGTCTACGCCTAACTCTCTGCCCCATCCACACCGTGCCTACCCCCCTCTTAAGGGTTTTCAGTTTTATATATGAAATTTACAAAAGGTTCCCTCCAATTTCATCAAGGCCAAATAAATTGAGATTTTGGTTTTTGGATGAAACTATCTGGATTCACATTTGGACTCTATATTAATTTAATTAGGAAAGTTCTAAACTCTTGGAAAGTCAACTTGCTCCATTGTCATAATCCAATGAAATGATACAGAGCAAGTTCCCAGACACTCTCACACATCGTGGAAATACGTTTGTGATAATCAGTTTTATTGTCAGTTACTTAAATTTGTGATCACCTTCTTACATTTAGGTAATATAAATGATTTGTCATGACAGCCTCAATAAAAAGAATGTTTTCTCTAATTCTTATCGAATGAAAGATCCCAACTTACTACATCTAGGGCTTTCATTGAACACTGTTCACCACTCTTACGGTACCAACTCCTCTCAGTAGCTGTGAAGGGCGTGCCCACAAGTCCACATTGTTTCATGTCAGTGACGGGTGCTTGGCTGAGTGTTCCAGCTTTCATTACTTGGCATCCTTGATCAATAGGAGGAGGTGATCCCAGGCTTTCAACTCTTACAGTGCCAGCACTCTCCAGAACATTCATACTGTGACTACAGTAACTTGGCTTCTTTCTAGACATCTATTATGTGTCTCTAAGCATGGAAATAATAGAAAAAGTTGGTACCCAGATTACTTATCTACTTATCTAAAACAGAAGGCACAAATAAAAGTTCCAAACCACTCAAATTAATTTGATAAATGTTCTCTTGAAAATTACTGAGGCTATTCTAGTAAGTTTTATTTTCCTGTTCAGAAACAGAGCTGTGTCTTCAGGATAAAATTATGAATGTTCTACCAAATGTCTACATGTCTGCCTGAAAAAAGTTGATCTTGTCTCCTAAAGATAAGAACTGAGAACAGCTATCTGCATCTAAGTAGTAAACTACTACTTTGAATAGTATTAATAGTAAATTAGTAATCTTAGAGTTCAAGAAGTGCTCAACAGCTTCTTGAAAGTTTAATCTTACAACAGTGAATAAAAATCAGACCAAATTATTCTCAATTGATTTCCCATGATTCACAGTAAGAAATATGTAAACACCATTAAAAATTCAGCATCCCTAACCCAAGAGTAAAGATAACAAGTTAGAAACAGAAAGGACGATCCATCCATTGTGTGCAATTATTTACAGCATCTGAATCTGGAAAAATTACATTTATCCCTGTTCATCTGAAAAGGCAGCCGTGTGGAGTGTCTGTTCCTGTGGAAGAGACTTAAACAAGAGCAGATCTAAGGCCAAACGTTTCAGCCACTCCTAACGTAGTAATTGCTCGATTAAGTCGATGTCTTACCGCTCAGTGACGCAGAGGTACGGATTTTGACACAGCATGGTGATGACAACATGGACAGAACCAGCCAAAGCGTTGGCTCACTAGCGAGACCTTACAGAGACTCTGAAATCAGAGGGCATAACAGATTATCGTGAGTAAATTATAGCAGCTTCTCTGGAGGGCCTGCAGAGCAGAGAGCCTGCTGAATGAACAAAATTAGTTGCGCTTTTAGCGAAAAACTGCCAGGATTCCAAAAAGACATCCTGATTTATAGAGAAATTACCCTTCCCACAGCACTCTTAGTTTGGGAAAAACATGTTAAATAAATGTACTAATGGCCAGAGGCAAACATCTTCCTGGTATTTAAAAGCATGACATTCATAAATGACTGGTAAACCAGGACCTTGAAACATTCTTGAGTCGAGTCTGTATTTTGAGGCAAGAGTGTGTGAGTTTTCTTCTCTCCCTACAAGCTGGACTCTGTAACAAATGCACTTCTGGGTCCACCCAGACCTGGATGCCAGGAACCCCCCACTTTCCCGCTGTCTGACCTTCACTGGCTCGTTGTCCTGCTGCTCCATTTTGCAGCCCACACTGCTGGCTGATTTCTCATGCGATGCACAATCTGCTTCTTGATCCCATGATGACCTTCTACACAGGGTGATGTGGTTTCCACCAGGACAGGTATGTTATCTCACTGAACTACCCCCAGGCTCCAAATCAGTGTGGGACAAATAATAGAGACCCAATAAATACTAACTGAAAGGGAGGTGATGTTGTTATAGGACAGGGAGGGGGCAGCCCAAACCCCGCAAACCTGCCTATTCTACATGGGTTCTGCCATCCGCCGCATCAACACAAAACATAGGAGACTTTAATGGGAAGGATCTTTAATAAAACTAGGAAACAATACAGGTAAGGCAAAGAGTCTAGTTTCTAAATGAAGCACCCAAAGTGACCCGTCCCCTCGTGGGTAAAAGTCCATCCATATGGGATCGGCCCAGAACAAGGCCCCAAAGCCTGCTAAAATTCTAAAGCATCTTCCAGTGGGGACCCACAGCAAAGGGTCACAAACAACCGGACAAGCCCGGAAGGAAAAGAGCAAAATCAACATCCAGATAAAAGCTGCCATGGTCACCTCCCCACGGGTCTCACCCACATCTGTGTCACCCCGTCCACGACCAAAAGGCAAGCGCAGTTTCTTCACGTGTCTCTAGACTCCATGTGCCTCCTCCAGGTCTCCTGGCTCCATCCTGCTTCCTTCCTCAGTCTCTTCTGCAGCTTCTTCTCTTCCTGCTCAGCTCCACCCTCCCTTGGGTGGGGCAGGGAACATCCCCCTTTCCTGGGGACCACCCTGTTGCAATGTGTGTGTTTATAAAGACACACACATACACACACATTGTTTAATTTATCTGGATTTCCCTCTATACTTTCAATATTGAAATCTTCTATGAATCTTACTGGTGAACATTTTATATGTTAGTTGCCCTTTCATTTTAACTGGAAACTTTAAAAGCTTTCTCCTTACATTATATGTCAATAAAAGCAGCTTCTGTTTTGAGCCAGGAAGTCTCAAGTGGGGGTGGGATGGACCACGAGCCCCACAGGCATGGAGTTTACCTGCCTACAGGTGAGCCTCCATTCTGTGAAAGCTGATTTGACTGTTCGGTCAATGTGGGCAATGTCATGTTTGTTTTTGTGACAGCTGTAACTTCATTATTTTATTACAACTCGCTAACACTCCTTAATACACTCTTGCCTGTGGGTCAGTATTGATTAGGAATTGCCACTTCTCCTGGTTCTTCACTTTAGCTAAACAATCACACACACACAGCCTCTGCTTCGACTGCTATGCCCTTGGGGTGTGGCCTTGCTTGTCTGGGGGGCCGTGTGGCACCCTGGCTGCTGCGAGTCAGCCACAGCAGCCTGGGTGTCAGGGGTTCCTGAAGGATGGGGCAGCGTGGGCATAATTGTAGAAAATGCGGGGCAGGGGAAATGAGGAGACACGGACACTCGATCAGGGTGCAGGCATCGTCCTGCTGAGGGTCTCAGTAGTCCTTTATTTATACATATCAAGCAAACTGTGAGTGCATAAGCATATGCATTAAGGTAGGAAGGTAACAATCATCACATGTTTTTCAAGAGCGGCCAAGGGTCTGTTGGCCTTATTGCAGAGGTCGTGACATCTATTATTCTTTGTCTTAAAGAGGGCACAGTTGCTAAACCAATGTTCTTAGAATAGTCATTTACTTTAAACAACCATCATTTTGTTACTAGCAAAAGGCCTATGTGACTGCAACTGACAATTCTATGTTTGCCATGGCGAACTAAGGGCTAGGGGAGCAAAGGGCAGGAGGTTACCTGGGGGACGGGAGGCAAAGGGATATTCTCTAACTAACCTATAAAGTTTAGACTAACATATTCACCAAATGATTAAAGCAAAAAACGGAAAGGCTTTTATATAGAAATTATTATCTATAGTATATTGTTTTAATATTGATTCGATATTAAGGATTGATTCCAAGGGCCTGGAGGGCGCAAATGCCAGGCAAGCCTCACTGACTCTTCCCTAGCCCCCAGCTCTCCATTAAGGGAGGGATTCTCCTAATCTAAACAAAGAGTTTTCTACCTATTACTCCTCTACTTATCTAGTCAGCCTGGTTTCATATCTAACTTTAAGATCAAGGGAAGTTTCCAGTCTCTGTAAGATTGCTGGTTGTTGTTTTAAAGAACTACAAATATTTCATCAGGGGCGGGGCCGGAGATGGGTATAGCTTCTGGTTTTCGGAATGGTTAATACGTGACATATCAGTAGTTGTAACATTGGCTGTTTCCAAGTGCTTAACCAGTCACAAAATTGTTGTTGACTTATGCTTAAACGCATCCTCCAACAGCTACCATCCCAATTGTCACCTCCAGAGGAATCAGCCTAAACAAACAGGAAGAATTTAGCCGGAGCCGGCCAAGGCGCCTCCTGGCTTATCAGGAACTTTCTTACAGGTGGAGCGTGGCTTGCATCTGCCACCCAACTGCTATCTTTAACTTTAAAGTAAAAGAATTTCCTTCTCCAATTAGCCCCTGCCTCAAAAGCCCACATCTCCATATGAAAGACTTGGATAAGGGAAGTTTACAGCCTTTTGTTCCCAGTGTTTTTTCACTTGTTAATGTAAGGCCGAATGTTGAATTACTGCCTTTTGGCAGAAAATTACTAATTTTATAAAAAATGTAATATTTGTATCACGCAGTGCCATTTGCCATCAAATTGGTTATTCAGTAATTGATTAAACAGCATTTCTAGTTTTACTTTTAAATGCATATTTTAAGAATGGTAGAAACTAGCCATCAACAAATGAGGAGAATCTAGCAGGAGTCAGCTAAGGAGATTCCTGACTTTTCAGGAATCTGCCCCATGCCCGGACCTTTGTCAGAGGACATGAGTACTGTGGCTCCCAGTACCTGGCCCCATGCAGGGTCGCTGCCAGGGTGTGGTTTCTGTGTAGGGAAAGCTGCTTCTCTTCCGTCATTTATCTGCTTCATCATGCACCTCCCTTAGGAAGCTGCAATCTTCCCTGGGTGATTGTCTTCTATTGACTGGGAGACACTTTCTGATGCTGTGCTTGCTAATGGACAGCAGGCAACATTTCCCTGTGTTCTCTCATCTCCATGAAAGAGCTGAGAAAAACATGATACAAAATAGATTAAAGGAAATGGTGTCTCCTGTCCAGAGCTGCAGGCCCTTAACTCTCACCTTCTCTATGCCCTGTACATCCAAGTCATCCAGGACTTTGGCTACCTTGGGTGGTAGAGAATTTACTCCTCTCCCCTAATTTTTTTTAAAGAAGGGATAAAATAAAATTTACAACATCTAACATATCTATTACCAAAATGCTTTCTCTTCTCCACCTTTTGAACTTTATTTGTGAAGACGTCTTCAAAGTTTCCTTCAACCCATTCAATATTGGGGCTGCCCTATAACACTCCCAACTGTGATGACAGTTTCTTCAAATGGTCCAGGAATTTTTTTTTTTTTTGTCTATTTCGAAAGGTCCTATCTTTGCTATACAGAGATAATAGCTAGGGATTTTGATTGGCAGGAATTCTGATCGCTGAGACAGGGAGTGAGGTTACAGGAATAAATTACTTCCCTAAGGCTGAGAGATTTTAGTTCCAGTTCATAGAACATAAGAAGCCAAAATCACCACACCTTGTTTTTAGATTCACATCATCTGCTATGTCATAGAGAGAGGGCAGGAAATACATATCTATGTGTGTAATGTATGTGTGTGTGTATATGTTGTTTTGTGATTATTCCCTCTGATTTTAGCAACAGATCTATCAGTTTTATTGTCGACTCTGTGGGGTTACAATTTTTTGTTTCTTTTTTATTCATAGATATTTCTGTAGGAAACCGAATATGCCCTTTCAAAGACTGAGCCACGCTGGTTTTTCTGTGAGAAACACTTTCGACTCATTTACGCAATCAAGTGATGCCTCATTCAACTGTCTTTCTGCAGTAATCACTTTACTCTCAATAAATGATATTTCTGGCCAGATAGGTGTTTTCCCCTACCTTTAAATTACTTATTTAATTATGCCAATTATAAAAAAGTAGCAAACAATGCTTTTGAAAACGAGCACTTATTTTCTTCAACTTTTGACTTCCTAGGAAAACGGAAAGCTTTTATTTTTAAAGATTTCTTTACCTTTTCATTTTATAAACTTCCAAAATAAGTTTTGAGATATCGATTTTTCTTGCTTCTTTTGGAGTTGTAATAATTCCTCAGAAAAATGAACAATCTTGTGGTTTTGAAAGATTTCAATTCTGGAATGTGATAAAGGGAAGAAAAGCTGAAGGAATCGAATATATGACTTGCATTAAGAAAGGACCCTTTTTTTTTATCTCATTCCTTAAGATTACAAGTACTATGTTAAAGTGGAAAAACTCGTCAAGGACAAAAGGGTCCGATTCAATTGATGTTCCAAAGTCATATATTTTTTATAAGTTCCATATAAATCCTAAGATGCTATTTTAGTCTCTAATAAAAGTGTTTGCTTTAATAGAAGCAATGCACTGGGGCTTAAGAATGTCTTATCCTG